ACCTCCCGAGGCCGCTGCAGAAAGAGGCGGGGCCAGTCACCCCCTCACCCGGCTACAGGCCTTACACCGAAGGCAGGCGTTCATACCGCAGCCCGGAGCTTCGCAGAGAGCGGGCTATCCCCTGGCACCTCAGGAGCCCCCAGCCGGCGAGATGCTCTGTGGGAAAAAGAGTTTCCTGGTCAAGAAAGTTGAGGAAAATGCTGGCGGGAAAGAGGACAGGTTCTGGAGTGACCCGGACTCAGTCCGAAGTCCCCCGGCCCTCCTCCTCGCTGTGTACTGCAGGCCATTTCCTGACTTCTGGGGCCTCAGTTTCTTTATCTGTGAAATGGGAGCAATGGGCCCTCCTGCCTCACCCAGTGGTTTGGGTTAAATCGGACTGTAGACGTCAGGGCTGAGGCCCCTGTGTGACAGCTAAGCATGCACCCGGTCTGTTCCTAAACCAGCACTTGCCTGGGAACAGCCAGAGCATATCGAAGGCTCTGAGAATTCCCGCCCCGAGGAAACTAGTCCACCCTGGTTCGCGCAGACTTTCCCAAATTAGATTCCCCGGGGAACCCTTACGGTGAACAGAAATGGGTGGCAGTTCATGGACCTGTTCCCCGGAACACACACTGGGAATCACTTCCTTCCTTAGCTCTCAGTGTTTGGAGGGGGACGGGGGGGAAGGCGGGGGGACACTCCCAGAGCAGGGGCATTTCTTCAGCACCACACCCACGCTGGGCCGCCTCCCCAGTGGCCACTGGGCATGGCTGGGGGTCAGGGGAGCATGGTCCTCACCCTGGAGGCTGCCCCCGTCTGGGAGGGACACAGTGTGGTGTCAGGCCGCACAGAGAGGACAGGGGCCTGTAGGAGCTGGTGTGGGCTGGGCGTCGGAGAAGGTAGGCTCTGGGCTCTGTGTCTGGGGTACGGCTGCTTCCACCCAGCAAAGAGCTGGGAGAGGGTTTCAGCCTGGGGGCAGAGCCCTGCTCAGGCTGCGCCCTCTTGAGGTCATGGCAGGAACTGCATTTCTTTGAGCCAACCCCAGGGCAATGGCATGCCACCTGGAAGGTCTGGGGAGAGGAGGTAGCGCCCACGTCAGTGCAGGTGAAGAAGAGCTAGGTGGTCAGCGGGTTAGTGGACAGAGCTGGCCCCGGGTCTGAGTCAGCAGCGAGACAGGTGGGCCAGGGCCGGGGGGCTGCTGTGGACACGAGCAGGTGGCAGCTGAGTGCCAGGTGCAGGGGTCATCAGGGCAGAGGCAGGCTCCTAGCTAAGTGGTGGGAGCCTGGTGCAGGGCCTTGATCCCTTGGGGGCAAGAGAGCTGTGACACGGGTCCACTCCCGCCCCTGCCCAGCCTGCCCGCCTGGCTGCCCCGGGAGCCGCCATCCTGTGTTGTGGGTGGAATTACCGCGTCAGACTCCTGATGGTCACGTGCACTGAGTCCCATGTCTCTTCTGCCGCCCCAGCCTCTGGCCGACGGCTCCTCCAACCCGTCTCTGCACGAAAACTTAAAGCAGGTGGTTCTGCCCAACCAGCCGGTGGAGGCGTCGCCTTGCAGCAGCCTGGGCAGCCTGAGCCAGGCTGAGAAGGACGAGTGCAGCTCCTCGTCCAGCATCCACTCGGCCGCCAGCGACGACAGGTTCCTCCGCCGCACCTTCCTCCGCGTCCACAGCTTCCCCGAGGCCCTGACCTGCGAGAGGTGAGGAGGGCGGAGGGAGGACGCGGGCCCATGAGGCATGTGGTTGTCAGAGGAGGAAACAGAGAATGGAGGCCCAGAGAGGTTAAGCAACTCAGCCAGGGACACACAGCCGCCCCATGTCAGAGTGGGACCCTGTCTCCCTCTGTCATTTGCCATGTGGTATCGACTCACATAGGAGTTACGGAGTCAGGCTCCAGCCATGGAGAGACTTCAGGGGACCCTGATGCATCACCAGCGTGTCTGTGCACGGCATAGCAGCCAGCCCTGAGTAGGCGCCTTCCAGAGTGCCTATGCACGGCATAGCAGCCAGCCCTGAGTAGGCGCCTTCCAGAGTGCCTATGCACGGCATAGCAGCCAGCCCTGAGTAGGCGCCTTCCAGAGTGCCTATGCACGGCATAGCAGCCAGCCCTGAGTAGGCGCCTTCCAGAGTGCCTATGCACGGCATAGCAGCCAGCCCTGAGTAGGCGCCTTCCAGAGTGCCTATGCACGGCATAGCAGCCAGCCCTGAGTAGGCGCCTTCCAGAGTGCCTATGCACGGCATAGCAGCCAGCCCTGAGTAGGCGCCTTCCAGAGTGCCTATGCACGGCATAGCAGCCAGCCCTGAGTAGGCGCCTTCCAGAGTGCCTATGCACGGCATAGCAGCCAGCCCTGAGTAGGCGCCTTCCAGAGTGCCTATGCACGGCATAGCAGCCAGCCCTGAGTAGGCGCCTTCCAGAGTGCCTATGCACGGCATAGCAGCCAGCCCTGAGTAGGCGCCTTCCAGAGTGCCTATGCACGGCATAGCAGCCAGCCCTGAGTAGGCGCCTTCCAGAGTGCCTATGCACGGCATAGCAGCCAGCCCTGAGTAGGCGCCTTCCAGAGTGCCTATGCACGGCATAGCAGCCAGCCCTGAGTAGGCGCCTTCCAGAGTGCCTATGCACGGCATAGCAGCCAGCCCTGAGTAGGCGCCTTCCAGAGTGCCTATGCACGGCATAGCAGCCAGCCCTGAGTAGGCGCCTTCCAGAGTGCCTATGCACGGCATAGCAGCCAGCCCTGAGTAGGCGCCTTCCAGAGTGCCTATGCACGGCATAGCAGCCAGCCCTGAGTAGGCGCCTTCTAGCGTGTCTGTGCACGGCATCGCAGCCAGCACTGAGTAGGCGCCTTCTAGCGTGTCTGTGCATGGCATAGCAGCCAGCACTTAATGGGCACCTTCCAGCGTGCCTGTACACGGCATCGCAGCCAGCACTGAGTAGGTGCCTTCCGGGTGCTGGGCAGAGTGCCGGGCAGTTTGCAGGGGGTACTTATTGCATGAGCACAAGGATCAGTCCGTCCCGTCCCCTGCCCTGTCTCTTCTGCCAGTGGGAGCCTGGGACCGGTTCAGTGATTGGTAACTATTAGTCAACGAACTAATTCCTCCTGCCAGCCTTATCAGGTGGGGGCAGCTTTGTCCCCATTTTATGAAGGAAATGTGCCCTGACCAGGAATCGAACCATGACCTCCCTGTTCATAGGTAGATGCTCAACCTCTGAGCCACACCTGCCGATCAATGATTCTCTCTCATCATTGATGTTTCTACCTCTCTCTCCCTCTCCCTTCCTCTCTGAAATCAATAAAAATATGTATTTAAGAAAGTAATAAAAAAAATAAAGTGAGTCTCAAAGAGGCTGAGTGACCTGCCCAAGGTCACACAGCGGATGGTGACGGAACCAGGTTTGACCCTACCACCTTATCTCCAAAGCCCATGCTCAAAATCTTCAAACTATCCAGCCTGGAGGAGGGCTCAGCTCGTGGTCAGTGGCCAGAAACTCACTCTGGGGCGGGGTGGGTTGTAGGCGCCTTTTAGCGTGGCTGTGCATGGCAGAGCAGCCAGCACTGAGTAGGCGCCTTCTAGCGTGTCTGTGCACGGCATAGCAGCCAGCACTTAGTGGGCACCTTCCAGTGTGCCTGTGCATGGCATCGCAGCCAGCACTGAGTAGGCGCCCTCTGGGTGCTGGGCAGAGTGCCGGGCAGTTTGCAGGGGATACTTATTGTATGAGCACAAGGATCAGTCCGTCCCGTCCCCTGCCCTGTCTCTTCCGCCAGTGGGAGCCTGAGACCGGTTCAGTGATGGTAACTATTAGTCAACGAACTAATTCCTCCTGCCAGCCTTATCCGGTGGGGGCAGCTTTGCCCCATTTTATGAAGGAAATGTGCCCCGTGGGGGCTGGTCCCCAGGCCTGTTCTGCTCTGATGTTCGGTGAGCTCGAGGGGCCCTGGACGCGGCCCGGGGCTGTGGCATGAGTGGGCTCAGAACCAGAGTTTGGTGAGGACCCCGCAGGTGGCCCACGGCGGGAGGGACGTGGCTGGACTGGAACCCCTTTCCTCGCTGGGAAAGGCTGTGTCTGAGCCTTAGACTTAGAGGACGTCTAACCGTTCGGGGTTAGTCATTCAAAAGGCCTTTGCCTGTGTCGGAGAGAAGGTAGAGCCTTTACCTGCACCCTGCCGCTGACCGGCCCTGTGACCGCGACCAACACTGATTTCTCCGGCCCTCGATGTCCTGCGTCAGCGTCCTCGTTTGTACAGTGGGCACAGGATGTCCACGCTGAGCTCTCAGAAAGGCGGCCTGTGATACAGGATGCCAGTGACCGGAGCACGTGCCAGTGTCATGTCTCCCACCTGCCATCTTCCGGCTTCGTCCTCGATGTCCAGGCCAAGCCCCTCTGGTCACGAGTGGGTTGCAAAGAGCTCCTGACACTCCGTCTCGTAGACCGAATGGCTGCGGATGTAAAATCTGGGGGCAGGACCCGCGAGGCTGGTACTGAGCAGGGACGCCCTATCTGTCACCCCCCTCCCCACCTCAGACACTAAAGGTCTCTCTTCCTCTTGCGACTTTGCAGCGCCGACCTTGACCTTTGCATCTATCACCTCCACTTAAAGGATCTGCTCCAGCTGGACGTAGCACTGAGGCAGGACAAGCACTTGGTAGGTGGCGAGGTGGCATGGCACCCCTCAGGGCTCAGGCACTGCATTCGGGCTCTGTGCGCCGGGACCCCCGGGAGGTGGGGGTGGGGAGAGAGAGCCAGCACCTCGGGAGGGAGAGCGATCTTAGGAAGAGACACCAAGATGGGAAGGCAGCTCCTGCCTGTGGGTGGGCGCCGGCTTCACTTTACCAGAGAGGGAAGGAGAAAGAGAAAAAGAGAGACCGAGAGAGAAAAGGAAGCAGAGAGAGAGAGAGAGAGAGAGAGAGAGAGACAGAGGCAGACAGGGAAGAGAGAGAGGACAGAGAAAAAGAGACAGAGACACAGAGAGGGAGACAGACAGAGATAGAGAGAGGGACAGAGAGAGAAACAGAGAGAGAAGCAGGAGGAGGGGGGAGGAGAGGAGGGAGGGAGATTCTGTTGTTTAAACCTTTATTTCTGTTACGTTCCCTTCTTTGGCAATAGATGTTTATTCAGATTTTTAAAATGTGCCTCCTTGACCTCCTTCCGAGAAAGAAGCCTGATGACGAATTCTACCAGAAGATTCTTTCAAAACAGGAAAATGTAAGTCTTCAATCTGTATTTCCAGGTAACTGGAAGATAGCTTATTACAATACTGGAGGCCCGGTGCACGGATTCGTGCTCCGATGGGTCCCTCGGCCTGGCCTGCGGGGATCGGGCTGAAACCGGCTCTCTGACATCCAGGGTCCCTGATTGCGAGAGGGCAGTTCTCGGGTGACACACCCCGGAATCGGGCCCCCTCCTCTCCGGTTCCTGGTGCGTCACCCAAGAACCACTGCTGCCAAGTCACCACAGCTCAGCAGCTCCTGCGTTGAGTGCCTGCCCCCTGGTGGTCAGTGTGCATCATAGATACTGGCCAGTAGGATGGTCACTTAGGCTTTTATAGATATAGGTACACTTTTAACATAATACAGAGATACAGACATGAGTACAGGTGTAAAAACCACAATGTGGACTAAAATGGGAAAAAATATTGGAGGCAGAGAAGTGAGAAGAATGTCGGTCATGTTCTCTGTCCAAGAGAGTCGCTGTGGGCGGGACTTCCTGTTCAGGCTGGGGCGTCTTTAAATATCTGATTTCCCAGGGCTGCAGAAGGAGTGAAAGATGCTGTTTCATTGCTTTCTAAGCCTGGCCTACTTTTTGTGGGGGGTGAGGACTATAGAAGAAAATAATCCATCATTCTCGAGGCTCTACGTTTAAGGAGAAAAATCGATTTCTATCATCAAACCTTAAATAGGACAAAACCCATAGCACTGACGTATGGTTAAGAAATATTACCCGGGGGAAGAAATAAATATTCCATGAGAATGTGAAAAACAAAAGCATTTCTTTTTCCAGAACTTAAGACACATTCAACTTGTTCTTTATTTTCTCTCTTTTGCCTTTTGCAGGATTTGGAGGAATTAGAAAAGGGACTTCGGGTCAGACTATCAGACACGGAGACGCTGGGCGCCAGCGACTCCCAGTACATCACGCTGGCGGACGTGGAGAAGAAGGAGAGGGAGTACTCCGAGCAGCTGATCGATAACGTAGGTGATGGGCTTGTTCCTGCGTAAAAGCCGTGGTTTCGGGACAGTCCAGCTGGGAGATTAGAGAGTGGATGCGCCTAGAAACGTGTTTAACACTGGAATTCCCTGCTGGGTCGGCCCCGGAGCCAGGGATCCGTCTCCGAATTGAGTGATGGAGAAGGTGTCATTAAGGGCCAGGATTTTCAGAGGGAGGCGTCTTATTGTTATCACCGATTCCTCTGGCTTAAGTTTTAGATTGGCCTTCATATCATTCAAAGCAGAGGTTGCTCTGACCCTGTGTGGGTGCAGCGGGTGCTGGCTGCCAACTCCTCACCCCCTGGGCATCTCTCCTAAAGCAGGTTTTAAGTTCCAGAGAGGAGGGCTTCCTTCAGGTATTTATCTCTGTTTGGCTTTTGGGTCCCACGACCCACTGTTCACGTATTACATCTTAAACACACATTTCCTTGGCTCCCAGGCGCTGTGCTGGCGACAGGGATTCAAATGAGCTTAGACCTGGCCCTGCCAGAGAGATGCT